TGCGATAGGAACGTGCGAAAGTGAACTGAAAGTGTAAATGACGAAGAACGATAACAAACTGAACAAAAAAAAAATAAACAAACAAGGAGGTATAGGAAAAGGAAACAAAAAAATTTCATTAACAAATCCCAAAACTATTTAGAAAGCGCTTACAATGTTTGTTGTACTCAGTAATGTCAGTTGGTCTTGCAAGCTATGTAACTTGTGTCATCGTTGTAGTAATCGTAGAGTACGAATTCGAAGAAAATGAAGACAGAAGCATAAACAAATTACTTGCCATACGGCCCCAATGCACTAATTTTTAGAATATTTGAAGACGACACGTATGTTTTTGCTTCCGCAGGTGACCTCAGCAGCTCCTACGACTGATCATTACTGATCTGAAAGAGATCAAGCTTTGATGTGGTGCTAATAAAAATTTCAGTGTTGATTATTTTTCCAATAAAAATTTTATGATAAGAAAACCGTTCAGGAAAAATATCTGGCAGTAGATATCAAGACAGAAAGTTAATACATTAAGAGTTGTTTGGTGGGGCGAAAAGATCGAGTCAAATACGTAAGCGTACTTCTTGATGATGAGCAAATAGTGATCAAATATTGTAAAGCAGATGTAAACTTTCATGATAAGAGTCTTTCTTCAAATTTCAAGTCACGCTTTCTCGGGAGAATTAAAGACTGTCAAATAGGATGCTTATTCCTGTGCGGGCACACATTTGTTAAGCAGATAAATACAAAGAGAGGAAGACCAACCACTATGCGTCTGTAAAAATAGGAGAAAAGTCAGTAAAATTTAATTCGTTGGAAGGCAGGCGATATCCGATCCTGTGGGGGTGCTCGGAAACGGCGCAGCATTTCCGCGGGAAGGATGTCTCTGTCGTGCCTAAGAGAGAGAAGAAGAAATTATAGTCATCATCATCATCATAAGCTTTATTTATACACGGTATCAATTTCATATAGAATCGCATCATTGAATACAATCTTGCATTCTGATTGGTTAAGGAAGCGAGGTATTTAGCGTGGAATTGCGAGTTGAAAACGAGGTTACGTGATATTGTTTCGCATCTACGTAAGCATAACAACTATCGTCAAATTGTTACAAAGTTTGGTTTCTAAGTCAATTTAAAATGTTTTCAAAACCATTGTCACCTTTTAAAGAGCCAAAAACAAAAAAAGCGTTTTTCAAAGTGAGCCTGAGGTTCTTCCTTGTTTTTAACTGAACTGGAGTGCACATTTCGGATAAAACCAAACAATTTTATTGCTGTTTTCTTTTTTATTTTTATTCAACTATGCGATTCAAGGAGAATCTATTACCTGAATCGTGAATTCCGAGTTNTTTTCAAAACCATTGTCACCTTTTAAAGAGCCAAAAACAAAAAAAGCGTTTTTCAAAGTGAGCCTGAGGTTCTTCCTTGTTTTTAACTGAACTATAAATTCTTGGAGAGGCATGAAAAACCTCTTTCGCTCGCGACAACGCGAAAGCAAGAAAATCCTGTGAACATGGCCCAGAAAAAAACAATCTCTGAGCTAACAGGTCACGCCAACCTGGGTTCAATATCCACCTACAGCCATAATCTATTTGAAAAACAACGAAGAATGTCAAGCAAGTCGGCTGAGTTTTCAATCGTACCATTACGACTGTCACAGCTGCTACCGCCAGCGTATGTAATTTCGTAGCAATTCGGTAGCTGTAGAAGGCATCGAGCCAAAGCTTCCCCTCATCCACCAAGTTTGTCGCCTCCGGCTAAATTAACTGGTGACAACGAAAACCTTTCAAAACTCATCTTGGCATGTTATCCGATTGTCGTTTATCCTCGTCGCCAATTTGTAGTGTCGCAAAGTCTTTAATTGTAACTGGAACAGACTCAAATATCCAAGAAGAGTTTATACCAAAAGTAAACAGATCCAACGTATCTAAAACTCCCATAGGTATCTGTGGGTTCTTACGCTATCCACAGAATGTCCATTTATTCTTACATCAGGTTGATGATCTAGACGTGTGATCTTGTATCGAGTAGCAATAATGGAATATTTAGTTTTCTTCACATTAAGACTAAGTTTATTTGCTTGGAGCCAAAACTGGATTTTGTTTAGATCACTGTTTAGCTTTATTTGTAGACCAGTAGGATCATGAGCATTAAGGGTAAGACAAGTCTCATCAGCATACAGTCTTGGTGTTGAGAATAGATTACTCGCGGGAATATCCGTTTATATAAATCAAGAATAATAATGGTCCCAGGATGGAACCTTGACGGACACCACACACAGTGGAGCCATAATCAGAAAGAGAACCATTAATGTAGCGTTTACGGCGACCAAAATTTGAATTCTCAAGTTCAAGGGTGTGTCGCTCCAAAACGCGGTTAACGAGGTGTTTGGGACTATTTTACTGATGGAAATGACGAACCAAAGTTGACTGTTTGCACGAATCTTTATTCTTGAAAGGCAATCGACCACGAACCACAATCAATGACGAAAATAACGATTATTCTGACAGTCAATCAATCTATCGAACGATCGATCGTAAACTGAAACAACAATACAACGAAGTTCTATCAATCTAACGAAAAGCCGCGGAATACAAAGAATCGCATGTTAAATACTGGGCTCTAAAGTCTAGAACGAGATTAACAATACAAGTGAAACAGAACAAAAGTTCGGAAACAAATTAAAAGAGTTTGATGACTGATAAACAGCCCATTGTTCTATCTAAATGATGGGCGTTCACTGACTCGCAGATTGGCACGAATTTAGCCTTTAAATCTTAAATCTATACAGATCATTGCAATATTTGTTTGTATATTGTCGCCCAACACTGAGAAGACTGGAAAGGAAAAAAACAAAGTTACAAAGGTACTCACATATCGGTCCCGCTTGTGCCAGAGGTTGAGGAAACGAAAGGGCGAAAGTTTACCACGGCTGTTCAAAACTTACGAAGAACTGATTAAAGGGACGCTAAATTTGCCTTTTATATGCGCGTGGTGACGCTGAAAGGTCCGATTACAAAACCAATAGAAATACAGAAAAACAGATAAGCATTGTAACTATGTGGCTATCTAAGATCATTCTGAAATTAGTGAACTAATCAATAATCAATCAAAAAATGAGCCTTCTGGCTAATGTCCTTAACAGGTCATAAGCATTGTATTTTTGTAACCTTAAGT